TTTTTTGTGACCCTCGCTGTCACCCACCACCCTATCCAATCCACCATCATGCCTCGCCTGGACTATTGCAGTCGTCTCCCTGATTCCACCCTTCTCCTCCAAGCAAAGCAGCCAGGATGACCCTTTTGAAGTGAAATCAGAACTTACCACCCTTCTGTCCTGCACTGTCCAGAGACTCCCCATCTCCCTGAAGGAGAAGCCGAGTCCTACCCATGCCCCGGGCCCTTCATGGTCAGCCTCTGCGATGCTGTTTGACCTCATCAGCCCCACTCTCTTCCTCCTCACTCCTCAGCTATCCTGGCCACCTTGATGCTCCTAGAACACACCTGCTTCAAGGCCAGGAGCAGTCTCCTACCAGACACCCACAGGCTTCCCCTCACTTCAGGTCTTTACTCAAACATCTCCTCTCTGAAAAGGTGGCCTTTCCTGACCATCCTATTTTAAATTACAACTAAGGTTAACTGCCAATCTCCCTTTTCTGTGTTGTTTTTTTTTCCCTAAAGCACTAAGACCATCTAATATACTATAAATTTGACTTATTTTATTTACCGGCCATCTCCTCCACTAGAATATAAGCTTCATGAAAGCGACGATTTTTGTCTGTTATCTTTCACTGCTTTATCACCTAATACCCAGAACCCTCTCTTGAATACAGTTAACACTCAAGTACAGTAGCTCATCATTTATCTGTAAGCTATATAATTTCACCTTGCAATCCACTGAGAATCAAGAAGGCAGTGAGAAGTACCTTGTAGCAGTCAAAATAGAAGATGTCTGTGTCACCAGAGATGTTATACAGATGGCAAATAAATAAGTTCATGAAAAGATGTCCAACATTGTTAGCCATTAGGGAAATGCAAAGTAAAGCCACAGTTAGATATCACTATCCACCTACCAAAATGGCTAGAATAAAAGAAATAGGCATAACACCAATACTGGAGAGAGGACACAGAGAGGATGTTGGCTTTTTCACACATTACTCTGGGTAAAGATGTAGTGGTTGCCTACAAAAATAACAGGTGCCTCCATATGACCCAGCAATTTCACTCTTGGTTTTTTTGTGTGTGTGTTTTTTTTTAAAATATAGTTTATTGATTTTTTACAGAGAGGAAGGGAGAGGGATAGAGAGTTAGAAACTTCAATGAGAGAGAAACATCGATCAGCTGCCTCCTGCACACCTCCCACTGGGGATGTGCCCACAACCAAAGTACATGCCCTTGACCGGAATTGAACCTGGGACCTTTCAGTCCGCAGGCTGATGCTCTATCCACTGAGCCAAACTGGTTGCACTGGTTCTCAACCTTCCTAATGCCGCAACCCTTTAATACAGTTCCTCATGTTGTGGTGACCCCCAACCATAAAATTATTTTCGTTGCTACTTCATAACTCTAATTTTGCTACTGTTATGAATCGTAATGTAAATATCTGATATGCAGGATGTATTTTCATTGTTTGTGACCCACAGGTTGAGAACTGCTGGGTTAGGGCTTCACTCTTGGGTTTTTACCCCAGAAAAATGAAGACCTGTTCAAACAAAAACCTGTACAGCCCTGGTCAGTGTGGATTAGTGGTTGGAGCATCGGCCTGCACATCAAAGGGTCTTGGGTTCGATTCCCAGGCAAGGGCACATACCTGGGTTGCAGTTTCAATCCCCAGCCAGGGTACTTGTGTGAGGCAACAAATCGATGTGTCTCTTACATCGATGTTTCTCTTTATCTTTGTCTCTCTCTCTCTCTCCCCCTCCCTCCCTCCCTATTTCCCTCCCACTCTCTCTAAAAATCAATGGGAAAAAATATCCTTGGGTGAAGATTAACAAAACAATAACAATAAAACAAAACAAAACTGTACACCATATTCATAGCAGCTTTATCCACAATAGCTCAAAACTGGAAATACCTTTTAAATTGAATAATCAGAGTGATATCGGGAAAGATAAGAGCATCTGTACTGTATTTTATTTACTGCTTTTTAAGTTCTTTTGAAACCACCAAAAAGGTAAGATCTGAAAAGAGATCATCTACTCACTGAAAATAAAAAGCATGTGCAAAAAAAAAAAAAAAATGTAAAAAAAAAAAAAAAAAAAAAAACTGGAAAAAACCCAAATGTCCTTTAATGGGTGACTAGTTAAACAAACTGTGGTCCACTAGTCATGCAATAATTTTGGCTGAACTTCAAGGAATCTATGCTTAGTGAAAAAAAGCCAATCTCAAAAGGATATAGACTGCATGGTTCCATCTATATAACATTTGTAAAACAATATTTATCCAATTAGAGAGCAGCTTAGTGGTTACCAAGGGTTAAGGGAGTAGGAGATAGAGGGTGGTAGCTGTGATTATAAAACATAGAGTGAAGGATACTGATGATGGAGCTTTTCTGTATCTTAACATTGGTGATGGTCTCAGGAACCTACACATGTGATAAACTGCACAGAACTAAATATGTATATGCAAATGAGTGCATATAAAAGTGGTGGAATCTGAATATCAACATCAATGTCAATTTTTTGGTTGTGACATTATACTATGCTTATGAAAGAAGTTACCTTTGGAAAAAACTGAGTAATGTACTATTTCTTACAACTACATGTAAATCTACCTCTACAATTATCTCAAAGCTATGTCTCTAGGTCCATGACCTAAAACTTATTCTCTTCCCAAAGGATATTCCCAGGCACAAATTCAGAATCCAGTGACACTGACTTTAAACAGAATTATATCAAGCTTAGTTATCATGATTAGCAGTAGCCAGATACGTTAAGGCAGGGACAGCCTGCTAGAATTCTCAGGCTCACAGAATAGAGGAACTAAAACCGAGCTCTCCAGATGCCCAATTTGGTGTTTTAGCATTTACCACCTTTCAAGGCCTTTTTATATTATGGATGATAATACGAAACACTTCATTTGAGCGCATACATTTACTACTTTTAAGACCCTGGTTTGATCAACCACATCAACTTTCTAAATAAGAACTATAAGGCTAAGAACACATTTGTAAATCTCTTCAAGATGATCAGTTATTACATGTGATTGTGTACTTAAAAGTTCAACAGCAAAAATTTAGTTTCATCTCAGAGAAAAGTTTCTTACTCTACTTGTTAACCAATAATGGATAACCAAGGGACATAAGAATCATTATTTACTGGGATTCTTTGAAAATATGTTAGATGCTTATTTCCATAGATGTTGGATAAGAGTCCATTATGTGGCAGTTGCTATGTTAGGTGCTACAGCCACAGGGAAGGGATATAATCAAGTACTTGCCCTCTTAGATCTGATGGTTTCATAGGGGCCATGAAAAAATAGTCAACCACAGTCTAGTACAAAATATTCAATAATAGGGTAAGAACATAAATGAGCATCTCACCCAAGCTTGGAGGCCAGAAGAAGCAGGAAAGTTTTTTACATGAAGTTGAAAAATAGGGACATGTGATGATATGAAGAGAAAGGACTGGAAGCTTTCACAGTGGAGGAAACAGCATGTGCAACGGAGTAGCTGGCCCATAGTGCACTGCAGGGAATGGCAGCTTGGGAAAGTAGTAAGAGATGATGCTGGACATCAGGAAGGGGTGATGGTGGGCAGGGACCGGGTCATAAAAGGCCATTCCAAATAGCCTAAAGGAGTTAGGCTGTGAGATAAAGAGAAGAAGCAATTGAATGGAGGTGCTAGCCTAACTGGTTTCCACCAAATGCCAGAAGATATCCTTAAGCTTTCCTCTTTCTGCATTTTTTTTTTTTTGCAGAGAACCCCTACTGTTCTCCAATATCCACCTCCCTAAGCTTCAAGGTCTAATTCCAGCACCACCTCTTTCTCCAGGAAGCTTTCCCCTCCTGCAGATGGAAGGGGTGACCCCTACTAGGTAGAACAGGTGCAGGTGTCCCTGTGCGTGCACTATACAGCAGCAAGTGCAGTGTAGTGTAATGGTTAGGAGCTGTGGAGTCAGCCTGCCTGGATCCCAATCCAAGCTTTACTGCTTACCCTCTACGCTTCAATTTCCTTAACTGTCAAAATGGGAATAATAACATTACTGCATCAAAAGGTTATCCTAGGATTGAATCATTTCACTGATACATTGAACTCACTTCAGAGAGTCACTAGTACAAAGCAAAGGTTTAATAAATGTTCACCTTTATTATATGTTATGGCCCCCATATACACCCAACTCTAGGCAAGGCCTATCACTGGTGCTCAATCAGCGGAGGACTAATCAGAGAGTAGAAGTCAATATCCTCTCCTCACAGACAGTCAATAATGTGACCTCATACTCTTTGCTTAGACAATTGGTCAACACAGACTAGAAATACACTTTCCTTTCCCAGGGAGTTGTGTGCTAGAGGCAAGAACCCCAAAGCATGATTTAGAAGAACTAGATCATCTTCCTCGCTCCTCTGCCTGAATCCCGGGATAACCTAGGACACGTGCCTTTACCTTCCAGAACTGCGGTATTCTCATCTGCGAAATGGGAATGGGCTCCTATGAAGCTCAAAACAGATGGAGGGCTTGGCAGCACTTTGCGCAGTGGTGATGCAAACCTGATTTCCATTTCCCAGTCTGCAAGCCATGGCCACACCTCCCCATCCCTCACTTTCACTTCCAGCAGAAGCATGCTTCAGACTAGCACAGCTGGCAGGCCTCCACCACAGAAACAGGTATATTGTAATGTGCCCCACCCACTGACTTGATAAATTATTTTTCTCCTCCTCCAGGGACTTTCCTGACTTCCTTCTGTCAGCGAGAGAAGGAGCACATGAGCACACTGTATATAAATATGTTTGGGAAGCTTTCTTCTTCTTTTTTTTTTTCCTTAAACCAAACTTTGGTTTCTGTTGTAGGCGGTGCATTCCCTAACAGGGCGGGGCTCAGTGTGCTGTGGAGGGGAGAGGAGAGGCCATGGGGGAGGAGTAGGCAGTGATTGATTCACACACTGTGAGAGCTGGTCTTCTATTTAATGGGGGGGTCTCCCTGCGCAAGAGGAGTCAGCTCTGTCTCCAGGACCAGCCAGAGCATGGCAGAGGACCTGGGGCTGGGCTTTGGGGAGACAGCCAGCGTGGAAATGCTGCCCGAGGATGACAGCTTCAGGCCCAAGGCCAGAGCTAGGCTGGCAGCCAGGGCCAGCAGCTCCGGCTGGGCTCTCACCTGTTGCCTGGTGTCACTCCCCATCCTGGCAGGACTCACCGCCTACCTGCTTGTTGGCCAGCTCAGAACCCAAGGAGAGGCCTGTGTGTTCCAGGTAAGCAAGACCTGGAGCTTCCCTGGGGATCAGCAGACCCCTGCAGGCAGTTTAGCCTGTACAGCCCTGGTCAGTGTGGATAGATCTGCAAGCTGAGGAAGCCCTGGGCAGGGCTCCCTGATCCATCACCCTCCTTCCCTCCCTTGCCTCAACATACAAAGGAAATGCAGAATGTGAGGGAGGGGTGGAAGGGTGTTTATTCTTAATAGTTCCAGGGAATGAATTGTCCCCTTTTATGTTTGTGTGGGAACAACCTCAAGCCTCATATTTCTAGATAATTATGACCACAGTGCACTGATAAGTATGGAATGTTCCTTTTCTTTGAAAAGAATACAACATACCCTTTAAATTGCATAACTTAACACATGGTTATTAAAAAAAGTTAGAAAGTACAGATTAGGCAAAGGAGATAATTATCCTTACCCATAACCTCATAGAGGTAACCACTATAAAATGTTAACATTTGGGGATACATAATTTCATATATTTTAATAATATGGGATTGTTTTGAGTATCTTAATATGTTATAATTAAATTTATTGTTAATAAATTCACAGCAGCATGAGGATATAGATGGTTGTATTATATTACTATATATGTATGTGCTATAATTTATATAACCAACCCGCTTGCTTGGCTTCAGTACAATTCTTTTTCAATGTTCCAGAAAGAACTGCTTGCCAGATTGTCTATCATTCAGTCTTGCTGGGGGAGGGAAAAGGTTTGGGGGGACCTTACTCAAATATATATATAGGGTTTACGGAGAACAATGAGAGGATACAGGTGTCAATACAGAAACTTATAGCACTGACCTAGGAACACCAAAAACCTTAAAGCCTGAAGAATGTACCTTTCAAGTAATGCCCCTTTTTAAAAATGCTCTTGCATAATCTGTGGGTGACTGGTTTAATTTCAGTCTCAAGAGTTACATTCCATAGGCTTTTCCATTGGTTTAACTGGTTTCCAAGCAATGCTGGCCAACTGCAAAGCAGAGACACAGAAAGCAAGCCATGGCCATGGTATAACTTTCACCACGCACCAGGGTCAGCAAACAGACTGTGCCTGATTCAGGCGGCAGCATCCAAGGCCACGTGCCATCATTCAGAAAATGTAGACATAGGCAAGTCAACCGGAAATGCTGTTCATGTTAGAGGAGCACTGCAGGGCGTGAGAGGTCAAGCTGTGACCCCAAGATCACCATGGTGCCATTTCCTGGGAAGCCAAACTACAGCGTCCACTTGACACTCTGGGACGCTGTCCATCTTTATCCAGAAAGAGACTGTTGTTTTGAAGACACTGGGTGACTCCAGTAGCCTACGCTCTCCTGCCTTCTGAAGGGAAACACTCCCTCTGCCAAAACAATGTCTGAGGTCCCCTATGTTGGCAGAAGCCAGAAAACACCTCTGTTGATCTAGAAGGCCATCGGGTGGAATGCCACAATCCAGAGAGGGCCAATGGCTTGCCTCGTCAGGAAGAAAGTTTGAGATGGGAGCTGTGGCTAGACAGGAAGCCTATGAGGGAAGATGCTGAGTGTCTGCCCTATTGTAGGTACGCAAGAGATGAAAAGGCTAAAACTACTTTCCGTTATAGTTAAACCAATCTCCTTGGAGACTGGCCATGAGAAGACATTTGGAGCTGTGGTTTGGCCAGGAGATGTAACTCTTGGTGTGTCAGAAGAAAGATGAAGGGAAATGGGGATGAGGCTGTGCACACGCAGCAACTGGGGTCCTGATAAGAAACAGCTGGCCCACTCAAAGAAGAGAGTTTAAAGAAGAATGTTTAAAGAACTGAAAATGGGTTCACAGAAGGGTCTACGTGCTGAGATGCAGATGGATTAAAGGAAACCTCCAGGACTGGAGGCATCCTGGGGATTAGCAACAGAGGGAGGCAGGTCCCCAAACCTTGGTCTGAAGGGGCAAAAGGAGGAAGGAGATTTAGGGGAATGCAACGTGAAGGAGGGGCCTGCCTGCAGTATGGATAAAGGGGAGCCAGAAGTCTGCCAACAGCAGGGAGGGAAGAGGACGAGGGAGAGAAACTCGGGCCACTCTGCTCCTAGCTGGCAAGTGTGCCCTGAGGTCAGCCTCCAAGGGCACAGGGAGGGCCAAGAAGGGTGGATCCAGAGTAGCTAACAGACAATAACAAGCTCAGAGGAGACTAAAGAAGATGGGATCCGTCTGTGTTTTATTAACATGAAATTAACTTGTAATTTAAGCAAGAAGTGGTTGCCCAGGGAACAATAATTGATATTCAGTTTAACATAAATAAAAAAACATTTGCCTTTAAAAAATAGATGGGATTCAAGAAAGGAAAACCAGGTCACTGAGCGAACTTGTGTGGGCGTGGACGTAGCAGTGAAATGTCGTGGCTCTTGGAAACCTGAGTTTGATTGCCAGCTCAGCCACCTCTGGCCGTGTGAAATAGGCATGTGACTCCCAGCCTGTTTCCTTTTCTACCAAAAGAGGATACTAATACCCATACTTTGACAGCACCAATAAGAAAGGCATGTGTAGGAACAGTTTGTACTTTGACAACGGGGAGAACTATACTCACGCAGTTACAGCGATATGATTGTCACTCTATGCCAAGCACCAAACACCAAGAAAACTTGATCTTGACCTTAAGGAGCTCTGAGCCTGATGTGTGACAAGGAAATAGGCTATGTGCTCTGGAATTCCAGATGTTCTCCTAGCCCAGCCTTGGAGGAAGACGTGGTTCATGAAAGGGCTTCTGGAGAGGGGAAGGAAGCCAGTGGTGGCTAAAATACTATTCCTGAGGCCCAGGCCACAGACTCCATTGAAGATAAAAGCATGTCAGACAACACAGGCCATTGGAGGTAACAAGATTGCACAACCTACAGCTACAAAACAGACCATCTGACCGCAGCTCCAGGATCCCCTCCACTGTGTCAGGCTGCCCCTCACATTTCAAAGAGACAGCTCCCAGGTCATTGAAAAAAAAGGGAGGGGCTATCTGGTCTTCAAAGGATTTATAATGCCCCAGGCCCTAGGCAATCAACTCTAACACAAGGAGGAGTAAGAAAGGAGGGTCACCCAGTCCTTCCAATACATTCACAGCCAGCAGAGGATAAGCCAATGATAACAACAACAACAATAACATGATATTAACTCCCACTTCACATTTGCAGAGAGCTCTCACAAAGACGATCCCATTGAACATTCGCAGCAACCCAGAAATGCAGTGAGGCGGTGAGCAGTCACATTTGGCAGATGAGGAACTTGAAGTGGGAAAGTCTGTGTGAGCGCCCAAGGTCATAAAGCTGGGAGGGGACCAAGCTAGGTCTCTGAGTTGGCAAATCTAGGTCCTCATGGTTTCCAGGTTGCCTCCCTCTCCACTCACAATGAAGCTTTGTGATCATGGAAAGCACTTTCCATCCACCCCTTTTACAGATGAATGAATGGATCACCCTCATGTAAAACAAGAAATTCTATAAAGACAAGCCAGGGCTTGATTCTCCACACAAGAGCCAAAATGATTATTTGAGAACTTTCACTGGATTGTGCCATGGGCCTGCCTCTGTGGCCTTATCCAGTACCCTCTCTTCTCCTCTCCTCAGCCCATCACTGGCCTCCAGCCACCCTGCCTTCCTCTGTTGCCAGCATTCAAAGTGTTCTTCTGTTCCCTCTCTTTACTTGGCTGCACCCTCTACCAGAACTCCTCTAAGGCACCTCCTCTGTCCATCCTTGGAACAGCCACAGGAGGTTGGCATTGCTAAGAATCTTTTCTAATCTAACCTGAAAAAGAGTTGAGGCTGGAGAAGAGGAGGCTCAAAGGGGCTCCAAAGGAGGAGAGTGAGCCAAGTACACAACCACTCTGAGTTTCAGTTTTCCCACATTACCTACCCGATGGAAGTGCTAGGAGGATTCCAAGTGATCTCCATAAGGCTCCCGGTGAGTGCCTAGCAATGTGGACACTAGGATGGGTGTTTGTCCCTTTCCTCCCCCTAAGTAGAAGAGGAAAGTTCTTCACAGATCCATAGATAGAAACTAAGAAATGGAAATGCCCTTAGCCCTGGGGTCAGCAACTATGACCCACAGGCCAAATCTCACCCATTTTCAAAAAGCAACTGCCATAAAGATGCTCAACAGACATTATTTCCCTACCAGCACCCTACACACTGTCTGTGGCTGTTCTTAAGCCACACAGTAGAGTTGCGTAATCATGACAGTGACTATATCACCTGCCAAGTTAATATACTGTGTGGCCCTTATAGAAAAGTTTTCTGACCCTTGATCTAGCCCCATCTCCTTGTTTTACAGTTGAGGAAACCAAGGATCAGAGATGGGAAAGAAAAGTTCAGGGTCACAGAGTAGGTCACGGGGGACAGAGCCGAAATTAGGTTCTATTTCTACAGTCACTTGGCCTCATCCACCAGCAAATAGGACTGACTCCATTCTTGCTAAGTCCTCAGATCAGACATTGGAAAAGCACAGCAACTGTAGAAATGTTTGGAGTTTTTATTAACAGCAACAAAAACAGTTAAAAACATTGTTTTAAGTGGACTCTTCCTTCTGGGGTTGGTTGTGTAAGGAAAGATTCAATATGACAAACTCATTACTAGGTAAGTTGCAGAGCAGAAATCAAAATTAGGTGTGAAAAGGTTTGGGATAAGTGCCTTTAAGTGATGTGCCCATAAATAAAGCATTGATTAAATAAATCATGGTCCTTCCATGCTATGGAAACCTGCAACTGCCATGATCTTTTTCTTTTTTTTTTTTTTCAATGAAGCATCTCCACATGTAAGGATGGAAAATTTCTCTAAGATATGATGTTAAGGGGTTTGCAAAGGACAAAACAGCAGATAGAGTACAGAGCACTTCATTTTCTGAAAAAGTAATACATATTCACATTTATGAATGTGTGCATAAATGCACAGACTGTTCCAGGAAGAGGACAAGAGACCGGTGACTCTGCTCTTGTCCAGGAGATGGAACTGGGTGGCTGGGCGACAAGGGAAAGACAGATACATTTTTAAACATATA